TGGCATGCCCACTAACATGTTTCGAATATTCAATTTCATTTCTATTGGATCCCTTACATTCTTTACCTTATTTTTGATGATATCTACAAATATTCTAGGATGTAAGTGATTCAGGTTTCCATCAAACTTTATTCCCCCATCATTATAACTCGGCACCACAGTACTCACTACTCTTGTTTGTCCTAGATTTGATTCCAAACGCTGAATCTCCTCACTTGCATTTTTAAATTTCTCTCTCAATTCCTCAACTTGTCCCTGTAATACTCTATCTCCCTTTTCCGCCTGATTTGCATGCATACCCATTTCCAGTTCCAAATTCTGCAATCCCTTCTTTATATTATTTTTTATAATGGTAATTTTTTCCTCATAATCCTGAGTTTGCCTTTTAACACTTTCTACCTCCCTAACAATCTCTTTATTCTGCTTATTAACTTCTTTGTTTATTTCCATTGGTAAATTCTCTTTAATGGCTGTTCCCAACTCTACAAATCTGCTCCCAATTTCCTGTCCTATTTCCGCTCTAATTATGGCCTTTTCTCTGGATATCTCCTCCTGTACATTCCTCTTAAAATTCTCACTTTCTCCTCTGACCTGTTCTACTTTCTCTTCTAAACCTTGGGTAATTTGTAGCATCTCTTCCCTGACTATCTTCACTTCTTCTTTGATTTCTTCCCTCATTTTAATTAACTCTTCCCTAAGTTCTCCTTTAATATTATTTTCCATTTTGTTCATATCCCCCCTAATATTGTTAATATTACTATCCATTTTGTGCATATCTCCCCTAATATTATGATCCATCTGTTGTAACATCCGCATTATTTGCCTCATATCCATCTGTGTCATCCCTGACTCTCCAACATCTCCTTCCCTACGTCTCTCCTCCTGCACTCTACATTCATTCACACTTTCATCACGTCTATCTCTCACTGTCTCATCCAACTCCTCTCTCAAACTATCTGTTAGACTTCCCTCTCTATCACCTTGTCCTGCTTCTTGTCTGCCTTGCTCTAAATATTGTACTACAAATTCTCCTGATCCTCCTCTGCTTTCTTCATCTACCTGTATACCCTGTTCCTGTTCTAACACCTGTTCTCCTTCACTCTCTTTCGGTACGATTTCTTTTCCATTTCTTAAAGTCATTCGGTCTGCCATTTTATGCTAATCTCTATTTATTCTCAAATTTAACTTTAACTACCCCAGAATCTCTACAACTCTAATCACACCAATTTGTTTTTATTTTAATCTGTGTATTATTAATAAATCTGCTTAAAAAAACACCCTTATTTCTGTTTTCCCAGAGGCCCCACGTTGGGCGCCAATTGTAATTGTTTTGTTTTTATTATTTTTATGTTTTATTGTTAATAAATATAATTTTAATTGAATTGAAGTGAATTTTAAAAGTATGTAGTTCGTTGTTAATATACTATACCTCGGCTAGCTCAATTATTTGTTCTAAGCAATCTGTCACTGTGTGACGTCAACTCTGTAGTCTCCTGGTAGAGTTCAAAAAGAAATTAAACCAAAATTTACTTTATATTTTTGATAAATTAACCCAAATGAAGCACGTTATTTATTAATATTGAACAAATTTAATATAAACAATAAAATTCGTCTGCAACTTGGGTTGCCTTTAAAAATTTACAAAAATAGGAATCGTGTAAACCTTAATGTGTCGTGAAAATAGAATTTGATTACAAAATGTGGAAACTCTCTACAATTACCTTAAATCTAAATGACTATTGCAACTTTATAAAGTGTTTAAATGAAATATAAAGAAAAGAAAACTGAACACTTTATTCTGCTGACTTATAACTAACATTAAAATATAATCAAAATTTCAAATGATCCCCAAAATTATTATCCAAACTCACTTTCAAACAGTTCTGATTTTTTTTATTTTTTAAAGAAAACTAACTACTCGCAAAATAATCGGTGAAACTGGAATATCTATCCTCTCTTCGGAAGTTAAAGGTACGTACTATTATATTTTTATTTTAATGATCATTAATATTTCAATTTTTAAGGCCTATCGCAATTAGTTAATTCATGAATTTTTACTTTTTCAATCTAAATGACATTTCTGCACTCCAATTATAATTTATAAGTCAAAATTTCTCTTACTCTCTGGAACAAATTCTGGATATCTCTATTTGAAAATGTGGAAAAACTAAATTATAATTAAACGATTTTAAAGCACTCCCGGACTATTCCACCTTTTTAGGGCTCTTCCTCCAAAATTTTCGTCGCCTCCAACAACCTATTCTTCCTTGTTCACCGCCATAGCTAGCACCCACCAAAAATTATTCGTTGCTAACAGCAACCCCTTTCTTTTTTCATTCCGTCTTCTATTTTATTCAACCATAAAACTGTCCTGTTTTGACATATTTGTCAAACCACATTAATTTCTCATAAGCACTTTAATCACATCTAATTTGGGAATTTATAAAAAAAAAATTCAGATATAAAACTTAACAATACTAATATAATTTATTCTTTTCATCTCCACATCATTGTAATTTATTTAACAAAACCCCTATTAATTTAGTTCCCACAGACTTTTGACAGTTTATTTTTCTGACGTTTATTTTTGAAATTTCTATGTTTAAATAATTTTTTAAGAATTCTTCTTTTTTATTCCTTTTAAGGTTTAGACGATTCACCTATACACTAGGCAACTATACTATTCAGAAATTATTAACACTATACCAGGTAAGTCAAAATTAATTTATTTAGCAATTTACTAATCTTTTCTCCCTTTTATTTCAGAGTCGACCCCACATTGTGATGGCTTCATGAAATTCATGAACAACAAACTCATATAAAAATCCCTTTAAGTTATATCCTCTTTGACATATTGAAATCATTTCAACATATATATATATATATATATATATATATATATATATATATATATATATATATATATATATATATATATATAAAACTGTTTTGGATGGGTTGGAGTCAATAAAAGGGGCTATTTGTTGACTATTTTTTACTCGAGCTTTCAATTGTGATTACAATTATTATCAAGAGCTTCTAAAAAATACAAAATATCTTACAAAGTTGAACTAGAAATAAAAAATTTTTTTGTTAACTCACCAAATAAAATTAGTTTGTTATATAAAAATGCTGCTTACATAATAATTACAAAAAATATTAATAAAAAAATGTCCTATTCGAATAAATGTTTCTCTAAACAATTTTGATAGTTTCTTAACAAAAACAATTAAATTTGTAAACAAAAATTGAATAGCTACAAACCGCCTAAATGTCATAAATACTGACTTAAAAATTTTTATTTTTGACATATTGTCAAAAATAAAATTTGGTTTAAAAAATTCTTCTTCGTTTAGTAGCAAAAAAAGAAGAAGATTTATTCACCATTGATAGATGCCCGAAAAAATGTAACAAATACATGAAAAATTCAAATGGTGATATTTTACTGACTGCATATATAAATTACAAATAAATAATATAATTATAAATTTTGCTTAGATTTTGAATTTCTGACCTTTTGTTTAAATTATTATCACTTTTGCTACTACAAACCATTTCCAAAAAAGTTCTTTTACATTTATTACTTTCACTACATAAAATTTTAATATTATCAAAATCCATAATATGGTCTTTGTCTATTACATGCTCTGCCAAAGCACAAGATGGTTTCTTAATTCTGCAATCACTTTGGCAGAGCATGTAATAGACAAAGACCATATTATGGATTTTAATAATATTAAAATTTTATGTAGTGAAAGTAATAAATTTAAAAGAACTTTTTCGGAAATGGTTTGTATTAGCAAAAGTGATAATAATTTAAAGAAAAGGTCAGAAATTCAAAATCTAAGCAAAATTTATAATTATATTATTTATATGTAATTTATATATGCAGTCAGTAAAATATCACCGTTTGAATTTTCCATGTATTTGTTACATTTTTTCGGGCATCTATCAATGGTGAATAAATCTTCTTCCTTTTTGTTACTAAACAAAGAAGAATTTTTTAAACAAAATTTTATTTTTGACAATATGTCAAAAATAAAAATTTTTAAGTCAGTATTTATGACATTTAGGCGGTTTGTAGCTATTCAATTTTTGTTTACAAATTCAATTCTTTTTGTTAAGAAACTATCAAAATTTTTCAGAGAAACATTTATTAGAATAGGACATATTTTTATTAATATTTTTTGTAATTATTATGTAAGCAGCATTTTTATATAACAAACTAATTTTTTTTGGTGAGTTAACGAAAACATTTTTTATTTCTAGTTCAACTTTGTAAGATATTTTGTATTTTTTAGAAGCTCTTGATAATAATTGTAATCACAATAGAAAGCTCGAGTTAAAAATAATAGTCAACAAATAGCCCCTTTTATTGACTCCAACCCATCCAAAACAGTTTTATATTTTTTCCAAACGAGTCACAAGTACTTCTTTTTTCTTACTCTTTTATATATATATATATATATATATATATATATATATATATATATATATATATATATATATATAGTGGCTTGGAAAGCGAGAAAAATGAAGAACATGACACTACGTATATTCTTCAAGTGATCATTTAAATTAAAAAAAAACGCACTCAATTTGGTAGACAATTTAGTGTTCCGTATTTTATTCACAAGACTTAAATATTTACTTTCTACCCGCCGCTGTATAATAAATTATTTTGCAGACACTTTACAAACTCCCGTTTAACGACGTTTACCGTGAACTGTTATTTAATGTATCTGTTCTTCTTTGTTTCCTTTAAATTACCTAAAAGGAATAAAACTCGATTTTAATTTCCCCTCAAACTTTATGTCGGTACTTACATACGATATTAAATATATGTTTTCAACTCAATTCCCTCTGCGTTCTTTGAGCTTCACTTAATTTTTAATTATGTTTAAGTTGTTTAAGTTGTTTTTTAAAGTTTATGAGTTCGCATTGATGTCAAATGAAGGTAATACGATTTTATTTAAAAACTTAATGAACATCATTTTTAGATCAGATTTAGATCAGATTCAGATCACAATCCACTTATCACCAACATTACACTCATCCTTAAAAATATTAAAAGAAATCAAAGAATCCTTACAACAGACAGAAGAAAACTTAAAGAAGCTAAAGTTAAGGACTGTCTCCAACATGAACTGCATGTGAACTGCAACAAATTGAACACAAAAACCAATGATATTGACGAGTACTGGGATCGACTAAAATATTGTCTACTGGAGTCCTGTAAAGAAATACTAGGCTTCCGCAAGGAGACAAGAAGATTAGATGAATGACCAGATACTCAATATGATAGAACAGCGGAGACAATTTAAAAACAGAGACAACAATAAATACAGAGAGATAAACCAAGAGATCATCATCATCATCATCATCATCATCTTGGTGCTACAGCCCTTAGAGGGCCTCGACCTTCTCAAGCTTTCTACGCCATTCTGTTCTGTCCCTTGCTTGAATTTTCCAGTTGCCGACTCCGATCTTCTCCGCATCTTGTGTTACCCCATCCATCCATCTCAGCTTTGGTCTACCCCGTCGTCTCATTCCCACAGATTGCGCTGTTAGAATCTTTTTTATCATGTTCGATTCAGGGGCCCGGGCTACATGTCCTGCCCACTGCAGGCGGTTTCGCTTAATTATAGTGGTAATATCTTTACCACCAAACGTATGCTTGTAGATATTCTGCAGTTCGAAGTTATATCCACGCCTTCATATTCCGTTCTCACAGACCGCTCCAAATATCTTGCGTAGCACCTTTCTTTCAAAAATGGATAAAGCGGATTCATCTGTTTTCGTTAGCGTCCATGCCTCTGATCCGTATGTGAGAACGGGGACTATCAGTGTTCTATACAGCCTTATACGAGTTTTTTGAGACAGACGTTTGTTAGCTAGGTACTTTGATATACCATAATAACACCTGTTTGCAATTATTATTCGCAAACCAAGAGATCAGAAAGATGATAAAGCTGACAAAAGAAAAATACTTTAAAGAGAAATGCAACGAGATCGAAAACCTTCAAAATAAATATGATCAGTTAAGTTAAAGAACTGGCAAGACTAAGAACACCCAATTCTGGATAGACACGGGACTATTATAACACATACGGACGAGAAGATACAAAGATGGGCAGAATATATCGACGAATTGTTCAATGATGAAAGAGAAGATCTAGAGCACTAGAACTTACGTCAGAAGAAATAGGTCCATATATTACAAAAGAAGAAATATTCCACGCATTAAAACCAATCAAGAGTGGGAAAAGCTCTGGACCAGACAGTCTTACACATTCAAAAGTCATCCATAACCGAATATATCACAAACTGGACATAGACGTTAATGATACATAATTTGGTTTTAGCAAAGGCCTGGAAACGTGTGAAACTTTTTTTTACTTAATATACTCATACATGGAACGTGCAATGCTGAACGTGAGCCTTCGAGACCACATAACAAACCAACAAATCAGGCAAAGATCAGGAGTTCAAGACATCATCGAAAGAACCACGTCGCTTAAGTGTAACTGGGCAGGGCACTTAGCCAGAGCACAAAATGGACGGTGGACAAAACGTATTATGGAATGGAGGCCCAGAAACTATAAAAGAAGCCGAGGACGACCACCGACTAGATGGACCGATGATATAAAACGTGTAGCGGGAAATTGGCTACAAGCGGCCCAAGAGAACACTGGAAAGAACTGAGGGAGGCCTATGTCCAGCAATGTACGCGATTGGCTGATTGATGATGATACTGATACAAAGATGCCTGGACGTGAATTAATATATACGCGTGTTTTATTGACTATAATAGAGCATTCGATAAAGTACGGCATAAACAATTAATGAATGCTCTGAAATCAAAGAACATTGACTATAACGACCTTGGGATCATATAAAATTTATACTATAAACAGCGAGCAAAAATACGTGTTAACGAACAGCTGTCAGAAGAAATTGAAATTAGATGTGGAGTGAGACATGGATGCGTATTACCGCCAATTCTTTTTAATGCCTACTCCGAAGAGATCCTGCAAAACGCTCTAAAGGTCGATTCAGACACATCAGTCACGTCTCGTCACAGTGATTGCGCCGAACCGAACAATCCGTCATACAAAATATTCTTTAATACAAATATGTTGCCAGCATTCACACTCATCAGTTGACAAACAGTTTCCTAGCTGTCAGATAGTTGACAGTTCTGTGACCAAACAGGACCAGTTCGGCGCCGAGACTATGCCGGGACTGATGTGTCTGAATCGACCTTTAAGCGAGAAACGACATATGAGGACGACAATGCGATCTTAGCCGAAAATATTGAATATCTTCAGAGACTGGTAACCAGAGTAGCGGAGTATGGAAAAGAACAATGAAAGAAGTAACAATAAATGTCAAGAAGACAGAATTTATGAGAATATTGAAAACTCAAACCATGACCATAAATGACTATAATTTTTTTTCTGGTATGATTACAAATTAAGAGTTTATGCAAGCTATATATATCATGTCATAGAACAGGCAAAGAGGCCATCTTCTTGTTTTTCTGGAGATGTTCATGTTTCTGCACATTTGGTCAAATGTTTCTACTCCGTACTTAGTTGCATTACAAAATTGAATGATATCTGACTTTTCAGTTGTATCACATTTAACTGGACCGTTGTGGATTGTCGACAAAAAAGCACAGACTTATTTACTTTTGTCTTATAGGATACCATTGTTTTTCACCATTGAAACAAAATAAGGAATGACCAATTTTATGATTTCTGAGATTTATCATCTCGGCAGGTATATCTGTTTTATTTTGCCGTAGAGTATGTTGTTACATGGTTAAATTGTAAGGAGGTTTTAAGAGCTCTGACGCTAACGGTACTGATGGAAACCAATTATCCATGATTTTTATATTACGGTTACTTCCGAACACACCCTGAGTTAGTTGTTTTACATAATATTCTTCTAGAGACAGTCCATTGATTTTAGTTCCCTTCACTTAATAAAAATCGACATCGAACACATATATGATACTTACGTCACACTATAATAAAGTATTTGATAAAGTACGACATAAACAATTAATGAATGTCCTGAAATCAAAGAAGATTGACTACAACGACCTCAGGATCATATTAATTTATACTATAAAGAGCAAGCAGAAGTACGTATTAACGAACAGCTGTCAGAAGAAATAGAAATAAGATGTGGAGTGAAACAGGGATGCCTATTGTCGCCAATTCTTTTTAATGCCTTCTCTGAAGAGATCCTAAAAAAAAGCTGTTGAGGGTAAAACAGCTGGAATAAAGGTATATGGAGTTACCATTAACAACATTAGATATGCGGAAGACACTGTTGTCTTAGCCGAAAACATTGAAGATTTTCAGAAACTGGTGACCAGAATAGCAGAGTACGGAAAAGAGTGTGGCCTAACAATGAATATCAAGAAGACGAAATTTACGAGAATATCGAAAACTCAAAGAAATAACGAGAATCTTCTAATAAACGGAATCAATGTCGAACAACTGGACAAATATGCATATCTGGAAACAATGATTAACTCCACAAATGATTACATTCAGGAAATCAAAATCAGAATAGAAAAGGCTAGAGCAAATTTCAACAAAATGAATAGAGTGCCATGTACAAGGGATTTAAAATCGAAACAAAGAATTAAGTTGGCGAGGTGCTATATTTTTTGCCTATATTTTATGGAATGGAATCTTGGACCTTAAATGCGACATCAATGAAAAAACTGGAATCATTCGAGCTGTGGGTGTATAGAAGAATTCTAAAAATATCGTGGCCAAAACACGTCACAAACAAAGAGGTTCTAAAAGGGATGAATAAAGAAATAGAAATTTTAAATACAATTAAAACAAGAACATTGGAATATCTCGGACATATTACACGTGGATAGAAATACACCTTGCTCCAACTGATTATGCAGGGAAAGATTCAAGGAAAGAGAAGCATAGGGAGGCGTAGAATGTCATCGCTGTGCAAACTGAGAGAATGGTACGGATGTATATCAAATGAACTTTTCAGGGCAGCCGTCTCAAAAGTCCGAATAGCTTTGATGATTGCCGACCTCCGCCACGGAGATGGTACTTGAAGAAGAAGAATATCATTTTTAAGTTTCCTTTTTCGGAATAACTTAAACGCTCTGTAGAAGATACTGACAGATATTCTCTCCTTTTATTCTCTATCATCTATCAGAATACTGACAAAAGAAAGGAGAGAATAAAATAGAAGAGAAATGTTTTTCTGAAGTAGCTAACTTCTTATTGCTCGGTATGCCTGTAAGTTTTCGGTTGCGTCAAACCTCTGGGTTTCTGTTGCTGCGGCTAAATTACGGATCATATTTAAATTTTATACGTCTATATTTTAAAATTATTTTTGATTATTCAGGGTCAGATAGAATAACGGAATTAACTAAAGTTGTGTCTTTTTAAATATATATACTTTAATATATAGGCAATACCCTATATATTAAAGTACTTTCGAATATACTTATGAAGCGAAGTTTCTGTACTGGCGTTGTATTACTTTTTTCTTTATAGTAAAATGCTACGACGAGCGCCATGGAACTAATGCCTCGGGGTGAAAGAAAGTCACTCTGTCGAAACAGTCGTGAAATTATAATAAATTTTGTGGAAACGTCGAAAACAAAGGTTTTCAGTATTTTATTAATAAATTTAACAAATATTGGTTTGGAATTACGTCAGTTAAAAACGCTTATTAATAGATTCTGTTTCTTTCACATATCGACGATTTTTAAAGTTAGTATCAGTATTGTGGTCAATAAAAGATGAAAACTTTTATGTAAGACAAAGGTCGTAAACTCTTATAATGTACTGCTTCGAATTTCTATAGAATTGAGAAAAATCAATAATGAAAAATACAATGGTAACAGGATTTTTACGAAAGTCTTTTACCAACTGTCAACACTGTGTGTTTTCATCCACATCCCCTATAATTGACATCTAACGTTTAACAAAACGTTAATGGAAAATACAATGCCATCAACAGTTAAACTATTATTGAATTTTGTTCCTTCGCTACTAATTAAAATTAGGGATGTATACATGGTAAGCCAATTGAAAGTGGCAAACAGTGCAAGGAGTGGAAATAATCCAATAAAGAAATTGTATTACTTTTCTTGCGTGTCGGGAAGGGGAGAATAGCAGGATACGTTCAGGTAAAGTAAAAAAGGGGAAATGAGTTAATTAAAATATGTTTTATGTCTGATTTGTTGATGGTCAAAAATGTTCGTTACTTGCCTCACAGTTTAATA